AAATAAGAGTGTAACAGAAATAATAATAATAAACAAAAGAACAAGTTCTGCTTACTTTTCTTCTAGAAAATTTGAATTATTACCAAAATACAAACAAATATAAATATACATTTTAACATCAGCAGCAGCAGCAGCAATCAAAAAAAAATTATGAATATTTATGGCAATTAATACACATTGCAATTCAAATTCAGTTTCCTCTCGTATTACTTCACCAAAATTTTTTTTTTTACTGGCTGAAAAATAACAACAATTAGTGACTTTTTTTTTAAAAAGCAGTACAAACGCTAAACATTAATTTCTAATCTAAAAAAAAAAAAAAAGTTAGAAATTAAGTATCATTAACTATGCTTTTTCTTCTTCTAATATCATTTTTAGATTTGAGTGAAAATTATTGAAAACTCATTTCTTGCTTCATTTTTTCCTGTATTCCTTTTTATGCTTTTAAAAACTTTGACTTTAAATAAAAGAAATACTTGAATACTCACCTTGGTGTCAGACGGCCATTTAGATTGAAGGTTTGTGGAAGATTTAAACGTTTGGCAAGATCCTTATATGCCTGGGTATGAACAAAACGACTAAAGCAATCTTTTTCCATCAACCGATATACATGTGCCTGTGCTCTGTCAAAAATATTTTCTGGATACGTTGACGGATCTTTGGTATCCACTCGTTCAACAATATCCATCCGTGTATCATGATCAATGTTTATTGCCAACGGTGAATCTGAGGCAATAAATGTCTCAAACATCTCACGTACTGTTCGTTCAAACTGTTCACGACTGTCACTTAATCGAAGTTCCTGAACTGCCCACCTAAATGAAACAACTGATATTTATGTGTAATCCTAGCCAAACAAGACTGAAAATATCAAATTGTGTAAACTGACTGAAAAGATGTAACAATCTAAGAGAGGAAAACAAGAAGAATAAGTAGTTCTATTTCAGTTTCTTCTCAAATTACCAACTTTAATTTAGAGGTTGTTAGTATTTTATCTTCTGTAGTAGTATTAAAAATGATCAAGCATTAGTCAGTGTTTATGAAGAAAGCAGTAAGTTGCAGTCAACATACCAAAACAGGATGTTTTCTTCGCTATATTCACTTTGTAAAAATTTAGTAAATTGTGCTCGTCCATCTGCATCTGTGATAACTTTATCAAATACAAAATTCCATTCATTTGGGCTAAACAAATATAGCACTTCAGTAAAAGAAATGTATTAGAAAAACTGTATTTTTTTTAACACATGAAAATATATGGCAACATTTATTGGGATACCTCTGTCGCTGCGTTGTGTTTGGCGACGAGTCACGCATACTGTCAATAGACTGTTGAGGTTGAGCTTCGTTAGAACGTCGTCTCCGTCTAGATCCTTGAAATGAACTAACGTTTGGTAAAGCAGTTAGCTGTTAATAATGATATAAAAATAAAATGAAAACTGTGTTATTACCAATAATTTTATGAAAAACGAAAGAAGGGGAAAAAAAGATAAAGACAAAGGAAGAAAATATTTTTCTCCCATACAAATTATTGAGCACAGTCATTCAGCAACATTTCAACTGGGGAAGTGTTGAAAGAATCATTCCGATGTAGTGTCAGAAACACTATTTGTATTTTTAGTTCTTCATCAAAAAAAAAAAAAAAAAAAAAAAAA